ACAGAGAGACAGAAAGCGAGAAATCACCCCCCAGGGGGGATGGCCACGCCGCAATCCCTTCTCCTCCATTCTCCTCTCGGGATCTTGGGCATGCACGCACACGCGCCCGGCGTGAGTTTTAAGCCACCCGGTCCGGGACGCGAACTGCGGTCGACTACGTGGGAGTCCAGCGACATAGCCATTACGCTAACTGCTGGTCCCGCATTGGTAAATTCTTTCAGATTTTGTTTATCTGAGAATGTTTTTTATCTTTTCGTCCCATTTGAAGGATAATCTTGCCGGATGTAGTATTCTTGGTTGAAATTGGTTTTCTTTTAACGTTTGGAGTGTATCTTCCCATTCTTTCCTTGCTTGTACTCTTTCCACTGAGGGTTCCGATGTTAGCCTAATGGGATAACCTTTGTAAGTAAGTTGGCGTTTCTCCCTTGCCATTTTAAAAATCTTTTCTTTATCTGTGATTTTGGCCAATCTGGCTATGATGTGCTGTGGAGAGGGTTTTCTTGTGTTAAATTTATTCAAGGTCCTTTTTGTTTCTTGAATCTGGATGTTTGAATACTTCTCTAGGTTTGGAAAGTTTTCCCAAGATTTCACGGACTAGATTATCAATACCCATATTAGATTCTTCACCTCCTGGGATACCAATTATTCAGCTGTTCGAGTGTTTAATAATATCTAGTATTTTCCATATGTTATTCTCATTGGGGGGGGTATTTTTCATTCTTTTTGGTGATTTTTTTTCTATGTCAGAGATTTGTCTTCTGCACCCAAGATTCAATCTTCTGCATGTTATAATCTGTTTTTAATACTTTGAAGGGAGATTTTGTTCTTCTGCATTACAGACTTCAACTCTAGAAGTTCCATTTGATTCTTCTTTATATTGTTCTTTCTCCTCCTTCAAGTCATGAAAGGATCTCCTCATCTCCTGGAGTTCAGCATCTCTTCTCTCTTCCATCTCATAGAGCTTTGTTGCCATCAATTTTCTGAATTCCTTTTCTGACATTTCAATAATACCCTCTGATTATTCCCAACTTGGAGACAAGTTGTGGTGTTTTCTTGTTGGAGATGTATTACATGGTTTTCTCACACTTGAGGCTCTTCTCCGACTTATGGTCCTATGGGGATGTACTCACTTTTGACTAATTTGTTGGAAAAGGTTTCTGCAACTGTGAGCTTGTGTGTTTCCCTTTAGTGTGAGGAACTTCCGTGCCACTTTCTCTCTTCTTCTGTGTTTTGTAATGTGGTATTCACAGGAGGAGTTCTGAGTTCAGATTTATGGAGAGGAGCATCTCCCCTTTGCTGCTGATTCAGTGGTGGTGGGGGGTGGGATTTCTCTGAGCCTAGCAAAATTCAGCTGTTCAGCTACTATGCACCTATTTGTACACTCACTGGCTGGAAGCTGAGCAGCAAAATGAGAAAGTAAGGTAGAAGGAAAAGAGAATACAAAATGAAAAAAAAAAGAAAAAGAAAAAAAGGAAGAGAGAAAAAAGATAAAAAATGTCATTCCCTCCTACTTTTCTTTTTATTTATTTTTTTCGAGAAGTTTTTTGCTGTAGAGCACGTGCGCTCGCTAGACAGACAGAGACAGAGAGACAGAAAGCGAGAAATCACCCCCCAGGGGGGATGGCCCCGCCACAGTCCCTTCTCCTCCATTCTCCTCTCAGGATCTTGGGCACGCACGCACACGCACCCGGCGTGAGTTTTAAGTCATCGGGTCTGGGACGCGAACCGCGGTCAACTACATGGGAGTTCAGCGACATAGATAGCCATTACACCCTCCTACTTTTCTAGCTATGGGCCAGGGAGGTGCGGTTGGAAGAGGGAAGCTGCTCAACTTCATGCTGGTCCCTGAAATAGGCTGAGTACCTCAGATGTTTCCTGCAATGTCTCTGTCCTATGTGGAGGGAGGAGGGTAAGAATTAGCAAAAGAAAGGATTAGGAGAAATAGATTTTAAAAAGAGAAAAGGTTTTTTTCTCTTTTTAGCTACCTACCTTTCTAGCTATGTGACAGAAAGGTGAGGTTGGAAGAGAGGGCTGCAACTCCCAGGGCAGCTCAGTCCTCATGCTGGTCCCTGAAATGGGCAAGGTCCCTTGCATGTAGATGTCTCCCCTGTCCGTTCTAGCTGTGGACCAGGGAGATGAGGTTGGAAGAGGTGGGGGCGGAGGCTCAGGCTACTCGGGCCTCACACTGGTCCCTGGAATGGGGGAGCTGTACACATTTCTTTCACAGGAGTTTTATTATTTGTATAAAGCACAGTCCATAAAATATCAATGAGCTGATTGTCAGATTTCACGTTTGTTTTTTCTGTGTTCCAGATAGCAGTCCTTTCCCCTCGTCCATTCCACATGCTTTCCAGATCAACTTTAACAGTTTGTATACAGCGCTGTGTGAACAGCAGACATCTGATCAAGCAACCCTCCTCTTGTACACTTTGCTGCATCAGAATAGTAATATCAGAACATACATGTTGGCTCGCACAGATATGGAAAATCTTGTGAGTATCACACTAAATGAGCCATGATTGCTATATTTCTGATTTTCCATGCTTTTCTGTATTTTATATTTTGAATAACAGTTTGTTTTTCCAAGAGGCTAAGGCTGTTTGCCTGGTTGCCACGAGGTGGTCAAGAAATAGGTAAGGAGATGTCACCAGACACAGGCCGAGGATACGAGTGTGTGTCTTCAGTATACCGGCCCGTCTGGTAGGGATGGCCTCACAGAGAGGATCACAGCAGCATCACTGTGCCCAAAATCCCGAGAGAGACTGGAGGGGGAGGGATTGCAGTGTGGCCAACCCACCCCCTCCACTGGGTGATCTCTTACTTTTTCTCTCTTTGTCTCTCTCTGGGGAGTGCACGTGTCCTATGGGGGGAAAAAAAGAAACAAAGAAAAGAAAAAGCCTAACTAATTCATTCTAGCTGTTAGAGGGGCCAGTAGGCGAAGTGACAGTTAAGGCTCTAGACTCCTACATGGCTGACCACAGTTCAAATCCTAGACCTGGTGGCTTGCTTTCTCACTTTTCGTCATTCTCTCTCTCTCTCTGGTGAGCACACATGCCCTATAGCAAACTTAAAAATGAGAACAATAATAATAAATAAAATAAAATTTTTAAATAGATCATTAAAAAATGTTAGAACAGTTATGTGAGTTCAGAATGGTTGGAGGATACATAATCAGTGTATAAAACCAATATGCGGGACCAGCAGTTAGCGTAATGGCTATGTCGCTGGACTCCCATGTAGTCGACCGCGGTTCGTGTCCCGGACCTGGTGGCTTAAAACTCACGCCGGGCGCATGTGCGTGCGTGCCCAAGATCCCGAGAGGAGAACAGAGGAGAAGGAATTGTGGCGTGGCCATGCCCCCTGGGGGGTGATTTCTTGCTTTCTGTCTCTCTGTCTGGCGAGCACACGTGCCCTATAGCGAAAAACCTCTCCAAAAAAAAAGGAAAAAGAAAAAAAAAAACCAATATGCAAAACTCATTTGTATTTTTATGCATCAGCAATGAACAAACCAAAAATGAAATTAAGAAAATATTTACATTCACAATAGTATAAAAACAATAGAATAAAATACTTAGGGGACCAGTAGTTAGCGTAATGGCTATGTCGCTGGACTCCCATGTAGTCGACCGCGGTTCGTGTCCCGGACCTGGTGGCTTAAAACTCACGCCGGGCGCATGTGCGTGCGTGCCCAAGATCCCGAGAGGGGAATGGAGGAGAAGGGATTGCGGCGTGGCCACCCCTCTGGGGGGTGATTTCTCGCTTTCTATCTCTCTGTCTCTCTCTGTCTGTCTGGCAAGCGCACGTGCCCTATAGCAAAAACCTCTCCCCATAAAAGAAAGAATAAAATACTTAGAAGCAAGTTTAACAAATAGGTACAAAACTTATACTTGTAAAACTCTGAAATTTTATCAAAAGAAATGGAAAAGCATCCCACAGGTATGACTAGTCAGAATCCTAGTTGACTTCTTTATAGAAATTGGCCAGATGATTCTAAAATTTGTATAAAGCAAAGCAAAGCAAAACAAAACAAAACAAAAAAACCCAGTGACAGTCTCATTAATTGTGGTACCCTTGGTTCCTGGAATTTAGTAGTGCTCATGCACTGAACTTCATACTTCAGAGCAAATATTTGCTACAACTTGTAAAATGATATAGGACCCAGAGCTGCTTTATCCCCCCTCGCTAGAGGGCGTATGTGTGCATGCCATAGAGAGAGACAGAAACGGGGAGAGGAGAAAGTGCTCTCCATAGGGAAAGGTCTTGCTGCAGTCCCTCCTTCTCTAGCTCTCCCGCTTTTGGGAACACATGTATACACACCTAGCATGTTTTTCAGGTCTGAGACTTGAATGGCACAGTTAGCCATGTGGGGTGTGGCTGCGTTAACCACCAGGCCATAGAGTCAAGCCAAGGGCCACATTTTTGAAGTCCGCTATGATAGGTGCACCTCCTGAATCATGTGCCCCAACATGCTGGTGTAGCAGACTGTTTCTGTGGGGTTTGTAAACCTGCCTGTGCTCTAGGGACTTGTATATATGAAAAAGTTACTCATTACAGGTTATGATCTGGTTTGGATATAGAGTCTCTGCTCATTTTCAAGCATTCAGAGGATAGTATTCATGGCAGTTTTGCATAAGACTGATAAGTAGCCGGGACCAGCAGTTAGCGTAATGGCTGTCGCTGGACTCCCATGTAGTTGACCGTGGTTCGCGTCCCGGACCCGGTGGCTTAAAACTCACACTGGGTGCGTGTGCGTGTGTGCCCAAGATCCTGAGAGGAGAATAGAGGAGAAGGGATTGCGACGTGGCCATCCCCCCTGGGGGGTGATTTCTCCCTTTCTGTCTCTGTCTCTGTCTGTCTGGCGAGGGGAGCATACACGCCCTATAGTAAAAACCTCTTCAAAAAAAAAAAAAAAAAGACTGGTAAGTAGCTAGTCTGCCTATATTTGATAATCGTTTAGTAATCTGCTTACCTTCATTAGTAAGGAATGAATAAATTGAAGATGTCAATGTAATAATTTGAAATAAACCAAATTGGACTATATGTAAACAGGGTTATAAAATTTAATGTTTAACAGATATATACTGAAGAGTAAATGTCAATATGCAGGTTGAAAAAATATATCTTGGCTTGTAGTAATCTATTGGATATATGTTCATTTGAAATATATTTTTAGTTTATTAGCATTAAAATAGGAGTGATGATAAGCACATACAGTAAAACTTTTGTTTTGTTTTTGGAAGGGTTTTGCCATAGGGCGAGTGTGTTCACCAGAGAGAAATAGTGACAGTGAGAGGTAAAGTGTGAAATCACCCCTCAGGGGGAATGGCCGTGCTGCAGTTCCTTCTCCTCTATTCTCTTCCTGGGACCTTAGGCATGAGCCCAGCGTGATTTTTAAGTTGCCAAATCTGGGACTCGAACCATGGTTAGACATGTAGGAGTTCAGCATCTTAACAACCATGCCACCTGTTAGCCCCCATGAAAACATTTTTCATTTCAGGCTGTGTTTCTCCCCGGTCCCCACTTATTTCGTTAGGTTCGGGAGGGCGATGTGACTTGTTATAAACTTCAAACAAACCTTGAGCCTGAAAGCTCTCTGGAAATCCAAGTTTTGTGTTAAATAGACCCTCAGAGATCTTCACGGAGTTAGGATGATTTTCTCTACCGGTGTCTTTGCTATGTATAGGGAAAGTACATTCAGTCAGAAGCAAGTTGTATGTACTTTTTCTTCTAAAGAGAAATATAACTATGGTATTAAGCAGAGGGTATAAAGTAAAGGTGTATAAGTTTAAAGCATTTGATCTTCATAATAAAAATATTTAAATAGTAAATTATACTTATTTCTTAGGTTTTACCAATTCTTGAGATCTTGTATCATGTTGAAGAAAGAAATTCACACCATGTGTATATGGCCCTTATAATACTGTTGATACTTACAGAGGATGATGGCTTCAATAGATCCATCCACGAAGTGGTAAGTTTCCATTGCTATGGAGTTGGAGTTACGGGACAGGCATGCCCTTCCAGGTGATTAACATGGTCTTAACATTGCGTTTCTTCTGTCTTCTCCTCCTGGCAGTTTTTTTGTGAGAACCTGGATTAGAAGTAGTATGTTTTTCTTCAGATTTATGACGTAGTGTTTTTTGTCTGAATGGCTATTAGCCATTATTAAAAACTCTCTTAGTAACTAGTCCCAACAGGATGAGAAATGAAGGAAAAGGGATTGTAGTGCGACCGTGGCCCCTTGGAAGTGCTTTCTATCCCTTACTTGCTTTCTGTCTGTCTTTGGTGAGCAACTGCATTCTTTTACAAAAAAATAACCAAACAAAAAAAACCTCTCAGAATGTTCCTTTAGAATGGTTGTAAATATCTTTGCTGCTACTGGGTTCATTCATCTTTTCTGTTTTGTTTCCACTTTTTAGTTATGTTGGCAATCACAAGCTAGTTTGCTCTTTGCATACAGACTAAGAAAAGGAATGGGGAACAAAGGGAAGATGATTTGGAAAAATTGATTTTTAAAAATGTATTTACATTTTTTTTAGTTTGCTATAGGGTGTGTGCACTCGCTGGAGAGAGTGAAAGAAAGTGAGAAATCACCCCCCCAGACGGAAAGGCCATACTGCCATCCCATTTTCTCTTGGGATTTTGGGCACATATGCCCGGTGTGATTCTCGTCACCAGGTCTGGGACTCTAACCGCCCAGCCGGCCATGTGGTATCCAGCCACCTCAATCCCCATGCCACCTGCTGGCTGTGATTCCTGCTTTTTAAAATGAGCATAACAGAATTGAACTCTTTAAATTTGAGTTCTATTGGAGAGTTCTAGGCCCAAGATATTTACTTAGTTGGTTAGTTAGTCAGTTGTCTATTTATTTGTTGTGATTTTCAAGGTGCCAGGTCTAGGACTCGAACCACAGTTGACCATGTGGGAATCCAGCACCTTAACCACTATGCCACCTGCTATCCCCATAGTTTCATGCTATTTTTAATAAGGCTACCATGCACATTTTTGGATATACATTTTGATGAACATTTATGCTTACTTTTCTTGGCTTTATAACTAGAAGTAGATTTACTAGATTATAAGATAGTGTATTTAACTTTAAGAGGCACTTTTTATTTTTAATGTTGCCAGCAGACACATGCATTTTCCAGATAGAAAGAGGGAAACCGAGACAGCACCCCTATGGAGCATGGTCACACCACAATCCTTTTCTCCTCCTTTTACCCTTCCTTTCAGGATTTGTGGCACACGTGTACACGTATCTGGTATGTTTTTCACACTGGTGGTTCTGGGACTTAAACCACACAGTTGGCCTTGTGGGATCTAACCTTAACCACCGTGCCACCAGCTGGCCCAAGAGATATTTTATATATACTGATAATTAGAATAGTGTCTTGATTAGATTCAACATATCTCTCATTTAGATTATTCAGTTTCTAGAAGTGGCTGCTGTGCTGCCTGTCTTTATGTTTTTGTCTGATACCTGTGTTTCAAATCTGCTGTAGAAATGCCTCAACTTAACTTAGAAGATGCTTCTTGGTTACTGAGGCCTGCAGGTGTGCACCAGAGCTGCCTGCTCTCGTTGAAGATATGGGCTCTTTCACATGGCTGGCCTCATTCTCGTGAACACGAGCCTGGAGGTTTTCTGGGGTCTGTTGAGAAAGCTCTACTTCCTTTTCAAGAGGCACCTAGCTCTTCTTTCCTTCACTTTTAAACTTCGAGACTGACCGTTCCTTCTGTTACCTTTATCCCGTACGCCATCTTTCAGCCTTATCTCTCTTTTTTGTTTACTAATGATATCTTCCTCTGCTTTCCAGACCCTGTTTTTATTTATTTGTTTGTTTGTTTTTCTCCCTTTCTCTCTTTTACTTAAGGGGGAAGGAGAAGTATACACATTAGTGTAATTTGTTTACTTGAATGGAAAATCTCTCACCTTTCAAACTCAACTTTAGAATAAAGCCATGGCTTAGTAAAAACTGTGGACAGAGGGCCAGCAGGTGGCATGGGAGGTTAAGGCACTTGATCCCACGTGGCCGACCGTGTGGGTTGAGTTCCGAACCCGGTGGCTTGAAAATCACACCAAGTGGGACCAGCGTTAGCGTAATGGTTATGTCGCTGGACTCCCATGTAGTTGACCGTGGTTCAAGTCCCTGACCCGGTGGCTTAGAAAAACTCACGCTGGGCACGTGTGCGTGCATGCCCAAGATCCCAAGAGGAAAATAAAGGAGAAGGGATTGCGGCGTGGCCATCCCCCTTGGGGGGTGATTTCTCACTTTCTGTCTCTCTGTCTCTGTCTTGCGAGCACACGTGCCCTATAGCAAAAACCTCCCCCCCCCAAAAAAAATTACGCCAAGTGTGTGTGTCCAAAATCCTGAGAGGAAAATGGAGAAGAAGGGATTACAGCTTGGCCATCCCCTTGTGGGGTGATTTTTTACTTTCTCATTCTGTTTCTTTCTGGTGAGTGCGCAAGCCCTATACCAAAAACAAAACAAATGAAAAACTGTGGACATAAAGCAATTTCTTTTTCTTTAAAGCAATCATTTTTACATCAATTTTTATTCCTCATTACAGATATTAAAAAATATTACTTGGTATTCAGAACGGGTTTTAACTGAAATTTCATTGGGGAGTCTCCTGATTCTGGTCGTAATAAGAACCATTCAATATAACATGACAAGGACAAGAGTAAGTATTTCAAAGCTATTTTTGAATCTTTATGTGCACATGGTACAATTAAAACTGTAGTTTAAAGCAATGCCAATATTTAGAGTGCTAAAATTCTTATGCAAATGGTGGGAAAATACAGATCAGCATGTTCCTAATATAATGTAATCTCCATTTCCTCATATCCAATGGTTGTATGAGATATTTTATATGAGATAGAAAATAGCAGTGTAAAATGTTCAGGTGGAAGCTGTTGTGAATCTTTGCTGGCTTTGCCTTTTAAAAGCAGCAACAGGGAACCAGCAGTTAGCGTAATGGCTATGTCACTGGACTCCCACGTAGTCGACCACGGTTCGCATCCTGGACCCGGTGGCTTAAAACTCACGCCAGGCATGTGTGCATGCATGCCCAGGATCCCGAGAGGAGAATGGAGGAGAAGGGATTGCGGCGTGACCATCCCCTTTGGGGGGGTGATTTCTCGCTTTCTGTCTCTATGTCTCTCTCTGTCTGTCTGACGAGTGTATGTGCCCTATAGCAAAAACCTCTCCAAAAAAAAAAAAAAGTAGCAACTATGGGGGCCAGCAGATGACGTAATGGTTATGTCGCTGGACTCCCACATGGTCAACCACAGTTTAAGTCCCTGACCTGACGGCTTCAAATTCATACTGGGCTCTCATGTGTGTGTGTGCCCAAAATACTGAGAGAAGACTGGAGGAGAAGAGATTGTGGAGTGGCCATCCCCTCTAGGGGGTGATTTCTCGCTTTCTGTTCCATTTATCCAGTGAGCATATGTATCCTATGGCAAAAATCTCTTTTGGAAAAAAAAAAAGAGCAACAGCGACAAAGTGTGAGAAGACGTGAGTATAAGAGAATATGAATTCAAGCAGGAAAGAAAACTAGAAACGAGTGAATACTTGAAGCAATAAAAGAAAAGTTTCTACCAGATTCTATTTGAAGTACCTGGGAGCAAATTTCAATTCTGGTCAATAGAAATAATGTCAAAGAAAAGCAATGTACAGAATTCATAGCTAAGAGAAATGGTCAGATTTCCTGAACAAATTTCCCTCTTTGGGACTTTATGTAGACACATGTCCATATTTTATATCTGAAACTCGAGGAGCCAGATATGTTTTAGAATGAAGATTCTTTTGTATTTTAGAAAGATAATTATAGTGTGTATACTGTACTGTTTGTAACCATTAGAGTTTGCAGCAACCCACTGGAATTAAACATTAATATTTCTGGAGCAGAATATTTCAACATTCACCGCAGTGGGTGGTGATGAAGACCATCAACAGCATCATATTCTTTTATGTCACATGTTGCTTCCAACTGAGTTGGGAAAATACTGCATTTTCAGTGCCTTATAGATCTGGGAATTAGGAAAAAGAAACTGTGACCTGAACTTTTTAAAAAATTATTTAATTTAACTTTATTCATTTATTATTATTCTTCATTGACCAGAGAGAGAGAGAGAGAGAGCAAGCTACTACTTGAACCACAGTCAGCCATGTAGCACCTTAACCACCTGCCAGCCCCTAACCTGAACTTCCTTTTTTTTTGAGAGGTTTTTGCTATAGGGCACATACACTCACCAGAAAGAGAGAGAAAGACAGAGAGTGAAATTGAGAAATCGCCCCCTGGGGGGATGGCCATGCCACAATCCCTTCTCCTCCATTCTCCTCTTGGGATCCTGGGCACGCATGCACATGCACCCAGCATGAGTTTAAGCCACCGGGTCTGGGACTTAAACCGTGGTCGACTACATGGGAATTCAGTGACATAGCCATTACGCCAACTGCTGGTCCCAGCCTAACCTGAACTTTCTAAAATCAGTGACAGTTGAGTTTGCATTTACTTCTAGTTAACCTTGCTTAACATACATGGAAGACTTGATGTATGTTTTAACTTCTGGTTTCTAACAGGATAAGTATCTTCACACAAATTGCTTGGCAGCGCTAGCCAACATGTCGGCACAGTTTCGTTCTCTCCATCAGTATGCCGCCCAGAGGATCATCAGGTAAACATCAGTTTTAAAAGAAATTCTGATTTTTTAAAATTTGCTTTCACTGACTTACTGGGAAGGATACTGTGATGGCCCCTTTTAAAATATTATCTGTGAAGGATATAAAATTTTGTCACCTTCTTGTTTGATTGAAATATCTTGTTCATTTTTGTTTTCTAAACTTACTTTTTAATAAAGTTAATTGTATTGACTTTCAACCTTTTTATACAATCTAGTTTTAACTGTTGTGTGAGCTTTTTACTTAAGAGGAGGTGGAAGTGTATTTCTTAGCAATGCAAACTAAATCTGAACATTTGTTGAACACATCCCATTTTGAAGCAGTTGTCTGTGTTTGTTTTAGAGAATTCTTTCCATAGCAGTTTACCCTTGTATCAGTATCCTCTGGCTGCTATAACAAATTACCACAAATTAGTGACTTAAAATAACATAAATTTTGTTATCTTACAATTCTATAGATTGGCAGTTCAGAATGGGTCTCATTGGGTTAAAATAAGGGTGTTAGCAGTGCTGCATTTTCTTCTGGAGCCTGTGCAGGAGGACATTCCCTTGCCTTTTCTTACTATTAGAGGCTGCTCGCATTTCTTGGCTCTTGTCCCTTCCTTTCTTTTCAGAGCCTGCAACTGGAACTTGTTGAATTCTCACATCTCATCACTCTGACCTCTTCTTATGGTTCCTTCAACTACTTTAAGGACCCTTGTGATTACCTTTTCCCTGACTGAATAATTCAGGATGATCTCATGTTAAGGCCTTTACATAATCATATGCAAAAACATGTCCTTTTATTCTATAAAGTAACAAATTCATAAGTTCAGGGGATTGATTAGCACATGGACCTTTTGGGGGACAGCATTATTCTATCTCCTAAAACCAGTGTCACCAGAAACCCCTCTTTCTTCTCCATCCTTTAATAAAGACATGATCTTTAAAGGGAGGAAAGCTAATAATTAACCAATCACAAATTAACATCATTTGCAAAGATTTTGAACATATAGGGCACTTTTTGTCTTACGATAGGATGCTCAGTACTGTTCACACAGCTGTCAAGCAGAACATTCGTTGTATCAGTCAGTGAAGTCATACTGGTTCCATTCATTCTTGCTTGGACAGGACAGTTTTGACCATTAGTTTTTACTCTGCAGTGATGGGTGGTGATCATTTTTAAGCTCATTGATATCAGCCATTGGTTATGCCTTTGTCAATCTGTGCTCATTTTTAACAATGACTCAAAATTAACTTAGGGTTTTTTGTCTGTTTGTTCTGCAGCACTTAATAGAGGATATTTTGTATTGACTTATTTATATAATTTAGGTCCAGTTTTTATACATTCTATTGAATTGTAGTTCAGAAATTGTCTAGTTGGCCTACCCCGGGCTAACGTGAACTGCATGATTTACAGTAAACATAGCAGTCTCCTCATACCTTGATTCTGATGAGCTAAAAGTAAACTTTTTTTTTTTTTTTTGGAGAGATTTTCACTGTAGGGCGCGTGCGCTCGCCAGACAGACAGAGAGAGACATAGAGACAGAAAGCGAGAAATCACCCCCCAGGGGGGATAGTCATGCCGCAATCCCCTCTCCTCCATTCTCCTCTCGGGATCTTGGACACGCATGCACACGCGCCCGGCGTGAGTTTTAAGCCACCGGGTCCGTGTCACGAACCGCGGTTGACTACGTGGGAGTCCAGCGACATAGCCATTACGCTAACTGCTGGTTCCCAAAAGTAAACTTTTATTCCCACATGGTATATTTAATTTCTGTGCTGCTTTGTGGTCTGTTTTCCATAGTGTATATGGAGTTTTATAATGGTTTCACAAAAATTTTATTACAAGATTAATTATTCTCAACTGATAAATAAATATCTGGCCTGTTCAGTGTAAAAATACCAAATGAACTTTTCAGAAATTAAGTTCTGATAAGATGTATTAGGCAAGATTAAATGAATATTTTCTAGATATAAAAGTTGGAGAAAATGGGGGACCAGCAGTTAGCGTAATGGCTATGTCGCTGGACTCCCACGTAGTCGATCGACCACGGTTCTGCATGCTGGACCCGGTGGCTTAAAACTCACGCCGGGCGTGTGTGCGTGTGTGCCCAGGATCCCAAGAAGAGAATGGAGAAGAAGGGATCGCGGCGTGGCCATCCCCCCGGGGGAGATTTCTCGCTTTCTGTCTCTCCCCCAGGGGGTGAGTTCTCGCTTTCTGTCTCTCTCTGTCTGTCTGGCGAGTGTACATGCCCTATAGTAAAAACCTCTCCAAAAAAAAAAAAGTTGGAGAAAATGCAAATTAAGCACTGTGTCCAGCATTTTATTTGTGATGGCACAAGTAGAAAACAAACCAATCATCTTTGAAGAAATAAGAAACATAATTTATGCTTGCCATGTGGCAATATTTAGATTAAGTATCATCAATAATGAGTAGTATTTTACTTTGTTTTAACGGACTTTTATTTAACATTCTATGAGTGCGGAACTGTATTAAACAATGCAAGGAATATCAAAAGCAGCACTAAAGATTCTTACTCTTTGGTAGCTAATAATGCAGTGGCAAGGATAAGACAAGGACTCTACCATTATTCATATAATATATAAGGGTCTTTGATATGAGGGGACTTGACAAAGTTCATGACGGTCTGGCCTGGTTGCATAATGGTTAAGTGCTATGCTTAGGGAACTGGATCCCACACTGCCAACTGTGGTTCAAATCCTGGACCTGTGACCTTTAATAAAATACAATACAGAGTAAAATGTTTTGTTGCTGTGAAAGTATCTGAATAAAGCTTTATAAACCTCCTTTACAGGATATAAATGTAAGGAATAATTTCTTATGACCGCTCAGCTATTATTCATATTTCATGACAGTGTATAGTCTGCAGACGCTTGATGTCCTAGAATAATCACGACAGATATGATTTGGGTTTTGCTCAACTTTATAAAGGTTTTTGACTATGCTACAAGTGTGGATATTTGATATGTCCATCACTTGGAATGATGAGATTATTCATTCAGTTTAGAAACATTTCTAAAGAGTCTATTATGCAAATACCCTCCTAGCAAACACAGGTGACACACACATTTCCATGAGCACAAGTCTAACTTTACACATCCTATAAAGTAGCACCTAACTGGGGCTACATATCCTACTGCAGTCATTGAATAGATATTTTTTTTTCCTGAAACTTTTTTTTGTAACTCAATTTACATTCCTTCTCTAAGCATCATCACAGCACACAAAATGCGATCTCCCATCCAGTACACACTGCATAGTGACTCAATCATGCACATTACAAAAAAAAAAAAAATTCCAATTCTAGTTCCTAGAATTATTTCCACCCCTCTTTCTGACCCTCTGTCCCTTCCCACTCTCCTCTCACACCACCTCCAGTGTCCAAAATTGTCCTCCATTCCCTTCCCACCCACATTGCATTGATCACACAATTTCCTACATAACCTGACTACTTTCAAAGGTGAGTTCACGCGTTACTACTAAGAAAACCAGTTTTAACTTAAATCAAAGAACCGCCAAGGAACTTTGCTTAAAGCCCGGAAACAGGTTAGGATTCTGTTCAAATGGTAGGTGCATGAACCTATCAGTCTCATATACTTTTATCTTCTGTTCTGGTTCAATTTTCCTGATTAAATTCTGGGATATAGTATTCAACTCCAGACTTGTCCCTATGATTAAGTTAGCTACTTTCTCAGTTTTTGGACTCTTATTTCCATGTATCTGCGTTTAGTTTTCCTGATACAGCACATCCTTGAGAACTTCTTGGAGGTCTGGTCTGGTGCTGGTAAATTCTTTCAGGTTTTGTTTATCTGAGAATGTTCTTGTCTTTTCTTCCCACCTGAAAGATAATCTTGCCGGATACAGTATTCTTGGCTGAAACTGCTTCTCTCTTAACACTTGGAATATATTTTCCCATTCTCTCCTCGCTCGTATTGTTTCCGATGAGAGATCTGCTGTTAGCCTGATGGGATGTCCTTTGTAGGTAACTTGATGTTTTTCTCTTGCTAATCTTAGTATCTTGTCTTTGTCTGCAGTTTTGGTCAACCTGGCTATAATGTGTCTTGGAGAAGATCTTCTTGGGTTGATTCTATTTGGGGTCCTTTGCATTTCCTGGGACTGGATCTTTGAATGCCTCTCTAGGTTTAGAAAGTTTTCTTGCAGGATTTCATGGAATAGATTATCAATGCCCTTATGGGTTTCCTCACCTTCTGGAATGCCAATTATCCAGATATTTGGACGTTTGATGGTACTTCTCGCATATTATTCTCAAATTTTTGGGCCATTTTCTCAGTCTTCGTGGTGGATTTTTCTAGACCAGCCATTTTCTCCTCTACATCTGAGATTCTATTTTCTGAATGATCTAGTCTGCTTTTAATACTTTCAAGGGAGGGTATTTGGATTGATTAGGGTCTTTGGTGATTCAATAAAATGTGGGGGGAAGATGGTATAGAAAGCAAACATAGATACCAGAGACAGTGTGGGAGGAGAGTGGGAGGTGGCAGAGGGTAAGAGATAGGGAACCAACGATGGGGGGAAAAAAGCAAAACATACAGAAAACAAGAAATGGAAGATCATTTGCTAAGAATAACATGTTTGTTGATGTGCTTGATTAAGACAATATACAGTATACGCTGGATGGAAAATCTCATTTTGTACGCTGTAATGATGTACAGTGAATGAATGCAAATAAATAAATTGAAAAAAAAAGAATCTATTATGTGCAAGGAATTGTTGTAAATTATAAAAAAGAAAATAATTGTTGGGAGCGGCAGGTGGTATGGTAGTTAAGGGTGCTGGACTCCCACATTGGCAACCATGGTTCCAGTCCTGGACCTGGCAGCTTGCTTTCTCACTTTCTCTCTCTCTCTCTCACTCACTCTGTCCCTCTCTGATCAAACTTAAAGAGAGAGAGAGAGAGAGAGAGGGAGGAAAGAAGAAAGAAAGAGAGAGGGAGGGAAGGAAGGACAATGAAAGGAAAGGAAGGAAAGGAAAG